TACAGTTTTCTGAAAAAATTTATGCTATCGGCTATAAGAATCTTCTGTATTCATTGATATTTTGGCAGATTTTGAATAATTCATATTGACCCAACTGGGAAAAACTCGGCGCCTCGGTGGCATTCGAACCCACGCAGTAAAGGGAAGGCTTTAGCGCAGCCAACGCTCTAACCACCTGAGCTACGAGGCCCCGCCGGACGACGCGAGTTTATTCAAAATCTGCCAAAATATCAATAAATTACGCGAGCCTGGTAGTCAACTGGTGGATTCTAGGTGACTTACGTAGGAGATCCTGCTTGGGCAGTCAACTTACTGTATCAGATTTGGTGGATTCCAGACGTTGCAGTAGGTTAGGCGGGTAACTTGGCCCAAATGTGATTAAACTCGCGTCGTCCGGCAGGGCCTCGTAGCTCAAGTGGTTAGAGCATCGGCTGTACTAAAGCCTTCCCCTTAATGCGTGGGTTCGAATCCCACCGAGGCGCAGAGTTTTTCACAGTTGGGTCAATATGAATCTTCTGTATTCTTTCCTCCTAAAACGTTAGGCTTTTCTCGTTTAAGGAGGTAATTATGAACATGTTAGCACGAATATTTTCTTCACAACCAATTTTAAAATCGGAATTTACGCGTGCTTGACGGCCATATTAATTTCTTTCTCGGTGCGTTCGCAGTAAGTTCAGTCTAAATGGCGCGCGGGGCTTCATGATCGCGATCGTTATTTCGCATGATAAATACGCAAGAAGGATTATTGTATATCTGTAAATTCACATTTGATAACTCTGATGCAAAAGCTTCCTGAAACCAAACCCACAATGTAGAACACGTTAGAAAATGTTCTTCGGATAATACAGCCACACGTCCACTTACGCAGTTTCACTGCACCCACAGTACATCGGCTGAAATGCTTAGGAGCCCAGTTGTTTATAGGGAACGGATGTGCCGCTTATGAATAAATACATATTCTGCGGCTTCCTAATATTCTCAACAATTAATCTTTAAAACGAAGTGAATCTGTCGAAGTGAAATATTAAAGAATAAGTCCGAAATTTGGTCTGAATATCTGAGCCGTAAATTATGTACATATTCACTCAGAAATGTGCGCACACCGATCCATTGCCTACCCGAAGCAAACAAGCCTCGAATGTGCGATAGGGGTCACGAACAGGCAACCACCCACCAGGCCGAAGTCGGTCAAGCTATGATAGCGGAGGGGAGACGACAGAGTCTGGGGGTAGATTGATACAGCACTGGTAGGTGGTTGCCTGTTCGTGACCCCTATCGCACATACGAGGCTTGTTTGCTTCGGGTAGCCAATGGATCGGTGTGCGCCCCATTCGTGAGTGAATAAATGCTCGATCAGCAGCTACAGAGAATGACACGTGGCGAGACACTGATGCACTTCGGTTCGATGAAGTGCTTATGACCCATCTTGTAGACCTCAGCGGTGGACCAGCTGCGCCAGCTGCGACGGGTGTGTCTGTGTGCATGTTTGTGTTTACGGTCCCACATGGTGGACGGGGTTATGATTGGCTGGATGAAGACAAACAAGCCCGAAGCAATGCACTGCTCCCCCAGAATTTGCCGCCTTTCATCTGATACACTGAATGAGACAGGAAACAAAAATATGTACACACACACCCTGCGCGGCTAATCAGCCAGAAATGTCCATTCCGGTCTCCCTTGTCTTTGTCAGTACCACCTGATATACATCATTCTACTAGTCGCTGTGCGACTGACTGCGAGGGTTCTAGTATGAGCCCAAAGGCACAACGGAACGAGCATGTTCCGTAACCTCATCGGCGAGCGCCCACTGTCATAATATATACATATATATATGTGCGTATGCGGGCCATTAGCGCCAAAGCCGATTAACCACCTCCTCCCCCCCCTATAATTACCACCGTGTTAGCATGACTGATATCTATCCCCATCCTATAAATACTGTGTGATGCCGTACGATACTCACCTCCGACGATGAAAGCTTGTCTGCTTTTGAAACGTCAGGACAATACAATCATGGTTCCCGAGATCGCCTCTTCTTCTCATATATATATATGCAGAATGGTATCGCCGACAATACCATTCTGCCTATATATCATGCGTCGCTGTGCGGCTGCTGGTTGGGTTCGAGAGAGAGTCCATAAGACACAACGGAACGAGTGAGTTCCGTATGAACGATCGGTGAGCGCCCCCTAACATTATATATATATATATATATGGATAAAGGCGAAAATGCCGACCCCAGGTGTTGAGATGGAAGAAGGTAAAGAGATCTCTAGGGAGGATGATTTATTCATCTGACGTTTCACACTCATACTTGAGCGCATCATCGGAGATAGATTAAAAGTGGGAATACAAGGCGGATCCCGACACAGATAATTGTCTACTGAAAAGCATAAAAGAGATCGCCAGCCGATCAGACGTTGTTCTCATGGGGGATTTTAATGCACCCTGCATTCAATGGAGCGATATGCATGCGAAGTGCTCGATGAATACCTTCGATTACCATCTATTAAAGACAACCCTAGAAGCTCTACTCACGCAACGTGTCCTGTTTCCAACTAGAGCTCGTGGAGGGCAACAGGCCAGTTGTCTGGACCTCGTTTTTACCAAAGATCCTGACAGTATAGACGAGGTGTACTACCTACCCCCGCTCGGTCGAAGTGATCATGCAGTGCTTTTATGGGAGTACTTGCTGTATTCTGAACCGTGTAAAAAAAGACAATACGAGGCCAAATATATGGAAAGGGGACTTCCGCCAAATGAGAGCAGAGGCATCACAAATAGACTGGGATGTTCTCTTCTCCGGAAACGTTAACGAGGACTGGAATTTATTCAAGGATCGTTTACTGCATCTGATGAAGAACCACTGCCCCTTATTAAAGCCTAGGACATCCAACCGCCCTCAGTGGTTAACACGAGAACTCAAAAAGGAGATCAACAAGAAAGGAATGTTGTGGAAGAAATTTCGCGAGAACAACAACATTGCAGCGTTTACAGAATACAAAGTTCAAAGAAATAAAGTGAAAAGTCTGATTTTCAGGAGGCGACGGGATTTTGAGATTAATTTGCTCCACCAAGCCGTTAAAAATCCGAAATTGCTCTACAGCTATTTGCGGAAAAGCACACGTAACAGGAATCCCATTCCTGTTATGAGGAGTGATGACGGCTTGGAGATATCGGACAGTACAAATAAGGCTGAGCACTTATCTCAATTTTTCCGATCCGTTTTCACAAGAGAAGCAGACTTTATCCCATCTAATTCTGAGAACATGAGAAATCCCATTATCGAAAATATTGTGTTTCGGGAAGAAGCGATTTTGGAAGAACTGAAAAGCTTGAAGGAATGTAAATCTCCCGGTCCGGACGAGATCCCAGCAAAGCTGCTCTTTGAGCTTGCCAAACAGCTGGCCAAGCCACTATCCCTTCTGTGCCAGAAATCGTTTGATGCTGGAATTCTTCCCACAGACTGGAAGACGGCCCACATTACACCCCTTTACAAAAGCGGTAGTCGTGCTCTGGCAACAAACTACAGACCCGTCAGTCTGACATCAATCTGCTGGAAATTGATGGAGAAAACCATCAAAAAGGAGTTGATGGCTTACTTGGAAACCCACAACCTCTTGTCCAATCCACAATATGGTTTCCGTAGGGGAAGATCATGTGTTACGCACTTGCTATACACAATGCAAAGTTGGACACGAACACTGGACGCAAAACACACCGTGCATGTGGCCTATATTGATTTCCGGAAGGCGTTCGACAGCGTTCCGCACCAGCGTCTCCTACACAAGTTGAGAATTATGGGCATCGGTGGCAAACTTCTCAAATGGATCGAAAATTTCCTTGTCGGCCGCTCCCAAATTGTCTGCGTAGAACAACAGCAATCAAGGTGCACATTCATAGAGAGTGGGGTCCCACAAGGCTCGGTGCTCGGACCAACCCTCTTTCTCTTGTTCAGCAATGATTGTGTAGATGGGTTGGACTGTGATTGCGCCATGTTTGCGGACGACATAAAAATCTGGAAAGTCATCAAGAATGCTGCTGATGAGACCAACTTCCAAGAAAATCTTTGTCGATTGGACGAGTGGTCCCGCAGATGGCTCTTGTCCTTCAATTTGAACAAATGCACCATTCTGCGCCTCGGAAATCAGACCCCTAGTACGCGGCAATACCATCTGAACGGAATGCCACTCCGAGAAGCCGAAACTCAGAAAGATCTCGGAGTTTGGGTTGCAGACAGCCTAAGCCTTCTACACAATGCTGTAAGGCGGCCAAGGCCGCAACCTCAATTCTATATGCCATCAGGCAGGCATTCGTAGTTTTCGATGAAGACTGCTTCACCAAAGTCTTCGGCACGTTTATAAGGCCCCATCTCGAATATGCAATTCAGGCCTGGAGACCGTGGACGCATCAGGATTACAATCTGCTTTAAAGGGTGCAGAGACGAGCAACAAAATTAATAAGAGGTCAAACTGCACTGCCATACGAGATCCGCTTAACTAACCTTAATCTCTATCCTCTGAGTTATAGGCGGTTGCGCGGAGACATGATACAAACTTTCCGTATCGTGCGCGGCTTGGATTGTGCCCTTCGGCGCGATGACTTTTTCCAACTCGCCACTACAAATCACCTCCGGGGACATCCCTTCAAGTTACGTGTGCCACAGGGTAGACTGAATGTGAGAAAATATTTCTTCTCCAACCGTGTCGTAGAACCATGGAATAACCTGCCCGAGACTGTTGTTATGTCTCAATCTGTGGAGACATTTAAATGTCGCCTTGACAGATATATGCTGCAGTAACAAGCGGACTATGTGACTTTTTAGCCATGTGACCAGTGACATATGTGAATCAATGTATGCATTTACTTAATGCTGTAATTTCTTCACATTTTGCCTATTTATCGATTTTTTTATGCACAAATAGGGAGTTCAAAGGCGTAAGCCTATTTCCCTCAAATACACTGAATGACTGACTGGCACTGACTGAAATAGGTCTTTCTTACTCACCACTGATAGGTCCATTGTTCTCTCTTCCCATTTGTCCTCTCTTCCTGCTCAAGTGGTGTCTGACGGCATCATATGGCGCCGGTAGGTCGATTCTACGGTTGATCGAGTTGGCGTTGGATTGCAAGGCTTCGATTATCTCTCTCGCCATTTCGCTTTCAGCTCGGCCGATTACTTCTGCCTTGTCGAAGCCGAATTGATGGCCATTTTCGAGGCTATGCATAGCAACATGTGATCGTACATCTTTTCGCTTTACAGCTAGATAATGCTCATGCATGCGCGACCTTAATCGTTTGTCGGTCATGCCACAATAATTGGCCGGACAGTCTAGACAGTTGACGCGGTGAACAATTCTTGACGTGTCCTCAGGTGGTAGCCGCCCCTTGGGCTGCATGAGCAAGCGGCGGATAGTGACCTCCGGCCGGTGTCCAAGGCCCACGTTGAGTGGTCTGAGCATGCGTTCAGTGGCTTCGGAAACGTCACTCACGTAGGGCAAAGCACGGAAGAATTCATGTTTTTGTTTTTGTTCACCGTCGGGCTTCGTGTGCCTTTGATACAGGCATTTGTTTATGAAGCTACGTAAGTACCCATTGGAGAGAAAGAGACGCCATAGGGATTTACGCTCTCGCAGCTTTTCAGCCTCTGTGCTGCAGTGTGTGTTGATGCGTAGGTTGAGTGTCCGCACGCAACTGCGCTTATGTGACAAAGGGTGGTTACTGCTGTAATGGAAGATTTTCGCCGTATCGGTCGCCTTTCGAAAGACACGAGTTTGGAGGGCTCCGTCTTCCTGTCTCGACACCTGGACATCAAGAAAGGGAATTTCTCCGTCTTTTTCTTCCTCCATAGTGAATTGAATTTGGGGGAAAATTGAGTTCAATTTGCTTCTGAACGTCTCTTTCATGTCTCGAGGTAGGATGACAAAGGTGTCATCCACATAGCGCATCCAGAATTTTGGCATGTAGGATTGAAAGACCCATGTTTCTAGTTCTCGTAGAACCGCCTCAGCTAGGTAGCCGGAGATTGGTGATCTCATCGGAGTTCCCTGGATTTGCTCGTACACCTGGCCATTAAACGTAAAGTACGTGCTCAAACAGTAGTCCGGTAGCTCCATTATGTGCTTCCTTTTCAGAGGTCTTTCATCTTCATCGTACCTCCTCTCCAGTAGGTCACTTATGACCCTCGGGGCTAATTCTTTAGGGATGGAGGTGAAAAGAGAGACTACGTCGAAGGACACCATTATTTCATTGGGGGCTATTTAAACGCCTCGGAGTCTTTCCAGGAAGTGTGTTGGTGATACAGCTGTGTGTTCTGAGCCCTCCGTCAGCTTCTTCATATGTTTGGTAAGCCATTTAGCCAGACCGTAGGTAGGTGTGCCCTTCCGCGCCACAATTGGCCGTAAGGGAACGTTTGGTTTGTGGATCTTTGACAGACCATAGAAGCGTGCTATGGCAGCATCTTGCGGTTTCATCTGTCGCCAATGGGTCTCAGATATTGACTGTTGGTTCCTCATTAGACTTAGACTCTTGTTGATTTTTGCCAGCAGTGTTTTCATGGGGTCGGAGTCAATGACCTTGTATGACCGGTTATCGTTGAGTAGCTCCTGAGCTTTCGCTACGTACTCTGACTTGTCCAGGATCACGGTTGCCCGTCCTTTGTCTGCTGGAACAATCACAATGTCTTCGTCCCTCTTTAATTCTTTAATGGCATTTACCTCGGCTGAGGAGATGGTTCGGCGTGGCTTGTGAGATATAATGAGTGATGCGACTCGTTGGCGAATTGAGTTCTTGGTGTCCTCTGTGGCCTTCGCATTTGAGAGATGTACGATCACATGTTGCTATGCATAGCCTCGAAAATGACCATCAATTCGGCTTCGACAAGGCAGAAGTAATCGGCCGAGCTGAAAGCATAATGGCGAGAGAGATAATCGAAGCCTGGCAATCCAACGCCAACTCGATCAACCGTAGAATCGACCTACCGGCGCCATATGATGCCGTCAGACACCACTTGAGCGGGAAGAGAGGACAAATGGGAAGAGAGAACAATGGACCTATCAGTAGTGAGTAAGAAAGACCTATTTAAAACTTGTATTCCCACTTTTAATCTGTCTCCGATGATGCGCTCAAGTATGAGTGTGAAACGACAGATGAATAAATCACCTCCCCAGAGATCTCTTTACATTCTTCAAAATATATGTATAGATAATGGAGGTAGTATGCATTCCGAGGCGATATAATAAAAGGAACAGGCTCGTCGGAAAATAGAGGTATACTCGTGAATTTTCAAGTCGGTTACACCAACCCGTCGTCAGACGAAAATGAAAAGTGTGAGGGAGATAATTCTACTGGGGAGTCAGGGGACATCGAGGTTACATCGACAAGACAGACGTTTACGTGTGGGGGTGAAGAACGTGTTTGGATTGGTGGCGGACGTTAGGGGAGGTGTTGGGGGTTTCACACATGGTTCACTCTGTGGGGTAGGTGCTGAATCCGTGATATTCTACATGGCCGAATATGGATTAGCAGTTGGTGGCTTAGGGTGGGCGTAAGCCGGCAAACCGTGAACGCAAGCCTTCGTAGTGAGCGTCCAAGTTGACATGGCGGTTGATGCTATTGCTATTAGAGTGCCAAGCCTCTAGAAAATCTCGCGCTTGTTTGGTGTTGGCACTAGCGATCACTTCGGTCCCCTCCCAGTTGAAGCGGTAATTACACTCAAAGGAGTGCGCAAACACGAGAGACAAGAGGTCCCGTCGGCGGATGGCCAACTTATGTTCGTTAATGCGGGTCCCAAGTCGTCGGCCGGTATGCCCAACATAAAGGCTAGAGCAGTTTGAACATGGAATGCGGTAAATGACATTTGTTTGCTGTTCCTTCGGTATGGGGTCTTTTACCCGGGATAATGTCGTGCGCAATGAAGACGCCGGTTTGTGGGCGATGGAGATGCCGAATTGATTTAATTGTCGAGAGATCGCCTCGGAGATTCTCGGCATGTAGGGCAGGGAATAGAATTTCCGTGATACCATGTCTCCGTTAGAGTCGACGTTTTGTGGTTGTTGCTGGCGTCTGAGACAATTTTTCACAAATCTCGCCGGGTATCCGTTGAGTCGGAAAAAGCGATACAAGTAGGCCAGTTCTCTTTTGAATAAATCGGCGCTACTGCAGTAACGATATGCCCTAAGGAAAAGGATCCGAACACAGCTTCTTTTATGGGCTGCTGGGTGGTTACTCTGATAGCTCAGGATGATCTCAGCGTCAGAGCTTTTCCGATGAACGCTTTTTGCGATGCCGCCGTCACTGAGCTTTTGTATGCTCACGTCTAGGAACGGGAGGGTGCCTCCTTTTGCATCTTCACGAGTGAATTGTAGTGCTGGGAAGGCGCCATTCAAGCTCTGGTGAAATCGCTCAACTCCACAGGTCTTAACGATGACAAATGTGTAATCTACGTATCTGAGCCACGTTTTGGTTGGAAACTTTGTACAACATCTTGTGCTAGTCGTTGTAAGACTATTTCTGCAAGTAGCCCCGAAATTGGCGAACCCATTGGGGTTCCGTTAACCTGCTGGTAGTATTTGCCATCGAATTGGCAATAGTTATTGAGGCAGAGCTTAAGCAATTCTGAAGACTGATGACAGTATCGTGGTTTTACCTGCTGAAAAAGGAGGCGCAACCGTCATCATGGTCAAGGTTGATTACGTTCGAAAAGCAAACACTGTCTTAAGGACAGGGAAGCTTACGCACCACTCGCTATGGACCCAACGAAGAAGCAGGCCGCGGTTATAAAGAAGAAGGTGAATGAACTCGCTCGACTGAAGCTGATTAATCCAAATGACTCTAAATTCATGATTCTCAGTGACCCCCGTATCGCGCATGCGTATGGCCTTCCAAACGTGCACAAACCAGATGCACCACTGAGGATAATAATGCCACTCGTTGGATCGCCCACGTACAACCTAGCCAAATGGCTTTACATGCATCTGAAGCACCTCGCTGATGGATAGCAATACAGCATCACAAATTCTCAGGCATTCCTTCAAAGGATTGAAGGTCTTACAGTAAGTCCTGATGAAAGCATTCTATCATTTGATGTTTTCGCATTGTTTTCCTCAATACCACACGACCTTGCCATTGTGGGCGTGGCCCAACGCTTACGAGACAATCCCGTCGACCTTCCAACAAATCACGTTGTAGAATTGCTTAAGCTCTGCCTCAATAACTATTGCCAATTCGATGGCAAATACTACCAGCAGGTTAACGGAACCCCAATGGGTTCGCCAATTTTGGGGCTACTTGCAGAAATAGCCTTACAACGACTAGCACAAGATTTTGTACAAAGTTTCCAACCAAAACGTGGCTCAGATACGTAGATTACACATTTGTCATCGTTAAGACCTGTGGAGTTGAGCGATTTCACCAGAGCTTGAATGGCGCCTTCCCAGCACTACAATTCACTCGTGAAGATGCAAAAGGAGGCACCCTCCCGTTCCTAGACGTGAGCATACAAAAGCTCAGTGACGGCGGCATCGCAAAAAGCGTTCATCGGAAAAGCTCTGACGCTGAGATCATCCTGAGCTATCAGAGTAACCACCCAGCAGCCCATAAAAGAAGCTGTGTTCGGATCCTTTTCCTTAGGGCATATCGTTACTGCAGTAGCGCCGATTTATTCAAAAGAGAACTGGCCTACTTGTATCGCTTTTTCCGACTCAACGGATACCCGGCGAGATTTGTGAAAAATTGTCTCAGACGCCAGCAACAACCACAAAACGTCGACTCTAACGGAGACATGGTATCACGGAAATTCTATTCCCTGCCCTACATGCCGAGAATCTCCGAGGCGATCGCTCGAAACTTAAATCAATTCGGCATCTCCATCGCCCACAAACCGGCGTCTTCATTGCGCACGACATTATCCCGGGTAAAAGACCCCATACCGAAGGAACAGCAAACAAATGTCATTTACCGCATTCCATGTTCAAACTGCTCTAGCCTTTATGTTGGGCATACCGGCCGACGACTTGGGACCCGCATTAACGAACATAAGTTGGCCATCCGCCGACGGGACCTCTTGTCTCTCGTGTTTGCGCACTCCTTTGAGTGTAATTACCGCTTCAACTGGGAGGGGACCGAAGTGATCGCTAGTGCCAACACCAAACAAGCGCGAGATTTTCTAGAGGCTTGGCACTCTAATAGCAATAGCATCAACCGCCATGTCAACTTGGACGCTCACTACGAAGGCTTGCGTTCACGGTTTGCCGGCTTACGCCCACCCTAAGCCACCAACTGCTAATCCATATTCGGCCATGTAGAATATCACGGATTCAGCACCTACCCCACAGAGTGAACCATGTGTGAAACCCCCAACACCTCCCCTAACGTCCGCCACCAATCCAAACACGTTCTTCACCCCCACACGTAAACGTCTGTCTTGTCGATGTAACCTCGATGTCCCCTGACTCCCCAGTAGAATTATCTCCCTCACACTTTTCATTTTCGTCTGACGACGGGTTGGTGTAACCGACTTGAAAATTCACGAGTATACCTCTATTTCCCGTCGAGCTTGCTCCTTTTATTATATACATATGTATGTCTTGTTATTGTCGGTAATAACATACTGTCTATATGTTTATGTGCATATATATATATATATAAACATATATTGGTATAACGCGCGTATGACCTTCTAACTAATATCCGTGTTTTCAGTATGGATATTCCTGTAACCTATATGTTAAAATACTGGCTACCAGTTGGCAGTTTGTGAATGCAACGCATATGCTGCGCTATGGCTTATTGACGACGGCTCAGATATTCAAATAAGCTTACGGACTTACACTACGGCCAAGCTTCGACTGATATAATCCAAGTTAGATACTGATCTCTGACAATACCTCCGCTTATATGATAATGTTCTGTGCGCTCTCACCGCTTTTTCTGCTACCAAGCGCGCTTTTCAATCTTGAACAGCCTAGTTAACTCCCCATCCAAGCGTTGAACAGCATCTTTGTTTCCCCCTGGCGTCTCCGGTTTTTTGATTTTGATGTAAACTCGTATTTTTATTTCGTTCTGACTGGCTCAGGCACCAGATTCCACCAGCCACTGTCCTGTGCTACATGCTCAACAGACTGGGTTAGACCTCGGCTACTTTCCAGTTTTATGCGTGCTTGCATCCGTCTTATTTCTTCGTCTCTGATTCCTGAGCAGATTTCCCGGTTTACTAATAATTTCCCCTTGTTGCTTATTTTGAACGGCCTTCCGCCCATCGCCAGCGTTCGTCTGTTTCCTGTGACTGGACTAAGGCGTTCGCTATTAGTAGCTGTTTTTTTAAGCGTCGACCGTCAAATACGGTAAGCTCTCAAATGTCGTCGTGGAAACGTTAACCCAGTAGCAGTCAAGAAAGGGATTACCTGTTGATCGGACATTGTCTTGGCGGTCAGCTGGTTCCGTAACGCCGAAGGTTTATACATAAGACCTCCCATTTTATCAATATTCATCAAAAAGTGAACTCATATCTTAGTTGGTGGGGTTTTGTACACAGCCACAAAGGCCTAACGGCAACATTCTACGTAGCTTTTATGGTAAGGAAATGTGGTCCGGACAATACACCCACTTTTGAAGTTTAGTACCGCTAAAAGTTAAACGTAATTTAGTTCGCTGTTTGATAGAAAGAGTGAGAAGAACCTGCTCAGCTCGAAAGAAAACGCCCTTTATCATCGGAAAGCCATTTCAAAGGGACGGGCTAAGTGAACTTTTAAGAAAACGCCTAACTTAAGCTGTATCACAGACCTTTCCAGCAGCTGACACCCGTGTACTGTTCTGCATTAGTCCAATCCTATACGAAGAGGGCAAGAACAAAATACCAGATCAAACTAACTCTATGTGCATTAACTCCTTCAACTGCTCCTGTGGGACAAAATATATTGGTCGCAAGAGCCGGTAATTATCCAAATGAATAAGAGAACATCTTCCAGCATGGTTAGAAAAGAGTCATATAAAAAACCTCAACAGCTCGACCCTCGCGCACATGGTAGACACAGGCCATCGTGTAGACCCCAGAGAGGCTTTCAGATATATTTGCAAGGTGACGTCAAGCTATTCAAACTACTTGGGCAGCGCTTGTTGGCTACGGCAGAGGCGGCTGCAATCAGACTAAGCGGACCGGTCCTATGCTCACATGTCTTTATCCAGGTTCCACAGTTGCCACGGATCAAAGTCACAAAACCAGATAGGCGCCTATCATTACCTTCCCCAGGACCCACCTTCTCCCTGGCGCTGACTGGAATTGTGGTGTTTCTCTCTCCTCTACCTCCCTAAACCCGACCTACAGCATAATTGTCTACTTGCCCGCATCTTTTGATTTATTACTTCAATAGTCATATAAATGTGCAGGCCTGAGGAGAGTTTATGGAAAGTAGATGTATGCTCGCTAAATTGCCTTTCGAATTTTTCAATGGGAATTTTCGCAACCCTAAAAAGTTAATAGTCAAAGAAACAGGCACTTCCTTGTCAGTTATAGGAGCCGTTTTTCTTGGAATATCACATTTCATCATGGGATCCTGATTGCTGTATTGGTAACTGGCATGCCGACATTTTTGGAGGTTTTTATTATTTTCATTGTCATGCCCAAGACGGTTCCACTGGACATAACGCCCACTTGAAATACAAAGCAGCAGCGAAGTCCAACAGAACAGGCAAAGACGTTACAAATGAATGAGTAAAAGGTCAAATAATCATGACTTCCCAGCCCTCACCGGAAAAGGTAACACATTTTCTCTCCGCACAATCCCTCCAAGACACAGCGATTTATTTGGCTAGAATTTCGATTTCAGTGGAACGCTTTTAAATGTGTTTTTGACAAGTTGACACAGCATCGTTTTGATGGAAGGGGCCCTTATGTAGAACCACATGTGATTCCTCGAAGATCCCGACTACATTTTGCGGACAATTAGGAATTTATAGAATCGAAATGATTTGAGATACTTACACCGCAGGATTTACCAACTAAAAACTGTGTATGAATTTGCACTTTCCTCCCGAAACTAAATCACATATTGTCGTACTCCTGCGTTTATGATAGAGATTTTTTATTATAGCTGTTCAACAGGCAATATGACCGGAATCATTGCACCAGCACCTGCTTGAAAACAGGTAAACAAGACATTCACCTCTACAAGCGGCTATAGTTAGATATCCTTCCTGGATCCGAATGGGATTAAGCTGATAAACACAACGTATTATACTTCCACTGTAATTAACTAAAGTTTCGAGCCAAAAAGACTGCCCGCATAAACCAAGTTCTATTTGTACATATGGGAATTTATAAGGCTTCGCAAACAGAACGCAGAGAAGAAGACGAAGTACGATCCAAAGACAAAATGTTCGATTCAACTCTGCTGAAAGAAAGGCATTGAAAATTATCAATCAGGAATAAGCAGCTTGCTGACTTAGTTTGATTAGAATGAAGTTTAACAGAAATAAGTGTTTTTTTAAATAAAAATATACGAAAGTTGATTTGCATCGACTTAAGGTTTTTGTAACGCCCATTTGTGATCACCCAAATTGCAAGAAAAGGACGTGCTTTTGCGATCTACTTTCGAAATACATTGTACATAGATCAAACAACATCGTTTTGACTACGGTCAGTCTATTTTACTTTATAAAGTCGAGAATTCGCATGGGCGACTACAAACTAAATGCGTCTTGCAAGTAGCTTCAAACAATCGTCCGTAAATTTCAGGACCTTTATAAGCATGAGTTGACGGTTTTTTATTACCTTATTAAACCAACATGGCTACCACAAACAACGAATGAAATTCTGTTGTATTTTATTATCAGACCTGCACTTTGCCAGATTTCCAGATCTGCTCCAAGGTGTGGTAAAGTTCTCCTTCGGCAAATTCATTAGCATGTCGAAGTATGCTCTCGTTCGAGGGCCTAAACACTACTTCTTACGCACTTGAAAAACATACGTAGCAGGAAAACAAGGCTGTTTTCTGTTTTTAACTCCACAGTAATGGTAGCCCTTCTCGTCAAAAGCCATATGCTGCGCAAACAGCCTTTGCTGGACTACTAAGCATGTAGTATCGGTTCGCACAGCTTGGAATAGATTTTTTATGCGCAATGGCAGTTGTGTAAGTCTAAATTTTATTTGTCGACATCAAAATGTGATAAATGAATTCGTCCAAACAGATACAATCTAGTTTTTTGATCTGTTCAAACAAGAATATTAGAAGATGCATGCAGGATCAACTCATCGAAATGCCACCGCGCCGGAAAACTGTGGAACATTATAAGCCGTACCGCCTCTTCTTAAATGCTGGTACCGACTAAATCCTATTAATTTGCGATTGTCAATGTAGATTCAGCTGTCGTTATAATTATGACAACAGTGTGGATATGACGTGGCATTACAAATAGTTTCAATTTCAGTTTCACAGAACGCATGAAACGTAAGCAGTTTTTTTGACTTTTATCTTAATATTTTTCTATACGAGCTGAAATACTGTCTAGTCCTGATTGCGTTTTTTAACAAAAATGATATGAAGCCATTATAAGTCCTTAAGGGATTCTTGCTGATGTAGTATTGAGTTCGATGAAAATATTCACGTTATTTTAAGCAATCCTCTGTTCATGCTTGGGCAGTTAATTTACTTTATTAGATTTGGTTAATTACAGGCGTTGCATAAGGTTGGGAGGGTAATTTAACCCAAATGTGATAAACCTCGCGTCGTCTGGTGGAGCCTCGTAACTCAAGTGGTTAGAGCGTTGGCTGTACTAAAGCCTCCCCCTTACTGCGTGAGTTCGAACCCCACCGAGGCGCCGAGTTTTTCACAGTTGGGTCAATATGAAAAATCCTGTATTGTCAAATTTTCCCAGTAAGAAAGACCTACCTTTTCGTCTCTAAAAATATACGCCCGGGCTAAAAAAAAACAGTTACAGAGGATGTTAACGTAAACAGTAATCCTATGCAAAAAAGTTAACCAAGACATTTTGAATGGCGACTTATCTGACGCACACGCTGAATACTTCTGTGGTCACTGTAAACCTATAAGCTTATTATTTCGTTATATTGCAGGCAGACACTTTCTCCTAATTGGCAGTAATTAACGGCACCTACCGGGCTTCAGAACCTGGACGATTGCAACAATAATTCGCACGAAAAAGGCAATATTGGTGGTAACTTTTACTGTATAAAGCCAGTTCACCGCACCATTAGTTTACGGCATATTGACGCGTCAAGTATCAACAATGCAATAGACCTGATTTGGAAAGTGCGGCTTTCAGCGAAGTTCTAACGGACATTTGCTTGCAGACAACGTTTACCTCATTCTGCTATTGCAGGTCATTAATTTTAATTTTGTGTTATTTTTTCTCACAAACGCCAAATATTTGCGGTCCTTCGTTTACGCAGGCAGCTTAAAACTACATTGAAAATGTTAGTATTATTAGTTTTTTACCGACCCTTAATCTGTGGACACATTTTATGAGACTGCCAAAGGTAGTCTGTCAGCCATATTTTTTAAATTTACTATGAAGCGATTGCTGAATTGCTTACTTGTCGGCCAGTTCGCTTTTATTTGGTTCCGATGGGTCAATCTTCTTGTTGCGTCGAGTTGAAACCAGGACAATGACGGAGGCGATCAGGGCCACGCAAAGAATGGCAAGAATTACGGAAACCGCAATGAGACCGCCGTTGGCTTCAGAACCCGTCTGTAAATCTAGTACAAAACAATGATTTTCATTAAATTTCATAACAATGGAGATCAATAGCCTGACGGAAAGTTCCGACATAACTCGTGAAAATCATTTTGCCTAACAAGATCCGAACAGCATACAGCAAGCGCGGGGTATAAGACCAATTTCACACCGTATTAGCCAAAATTTTGGAATGCGCTTTGGTAAGATAGAATTACTTTAGTAAGATTAAGCTATTGGTTGTCGAGCCGCAAAATCATATAATATGTCAGTCTCAAAAGAAGATGCTGTCATCCGATTATTTTTCCTTTCCACTTTTTCAAAAAATTTATTTCTTGAAGGTGACTACTGTTGTAGTGCAAAACGCCTCGACCGAGTTTCGCTGAAACCGAGAATTTGAATATATTTTATAAAAACTCCCATCAACAATATTTTTTACTCCTTTCGTACTCATTCAGGACCTCTAAAATTATATAACTAAAAAAATGGACTATTGCATTTTGAAAGGTTTTTCCAAAGACCGAAAACGCTCAAGCCCAATTAGCCGCTAGGTTCGCTTTTAGGATTTGAAGTCTGCAATCTATTTGCCTTTGACGCGCTGAAAATCATGCATTTGTCTATGGCACCATAAACATATCGCATAAGTCGCGTAAAATACGAATTGCACATGTAAACTGTGTTGTATATTTCATTAGGAGCAGTGGTAAATGGGCAGGTACAACGAAATCTCAATACAAATTTTAAAACAAATAAAATACAAGTCATTTAAGCAGATCACCCGAAAAGCCATATTTTTGGATAGTGTTTCAAGATAATCAAAAACAAAAAACCACCTAAGCAGCGTTTCCCAATCGATTGCACATTTTTGCATTTTGCTTAACTCTTTTTGTGCCTGTCTACTAAGTATACTTTTAAAATACAGTTCACATCCTCACAGCCATATTCATTGTGAAGATATGACTGAATTATTTTAGGTCCATCAGGAGACCGGTGGCTGACGTAGTGTAGTAAAATTGACGTTAGCTCAGGAATCGTCCTATAGATAACAATCATTTTGAATAATTTGATAATTACTTGGTTACCTGCAGTGCGCATTCTTGTAGGGGCCGTCGTTCCAAAGCCCAAATCCGTGTATACTCGTAACTGAATCCTGCAATATTAAAAGACGAAGGGAAAGATTGTCTTTACATGCAAAAAATCATTTTTGTTCATTTCATCATATGATGCGACTGAGTCCGAAAGTTAATCACTACCCCTGTATCCTGTGAGTAATTCGGAGCGCATCCTACGAAATGGAAAAAACTAGCGGACATTGTGTCGGAAAAAAACAATACAGTCGGTCTAGACACGATCAAGACGGAGTGTAACCCTAAACCATACAGGCATATCTGTTTGCACACGGAGACTGTAAAATGAAAATTCACATTATTTGTGAGACATTTTGTGGCATATTTAACTGAAAACCACGCTGAAGCATTACAACAACGTACTGTTCGTAGGAAATATCACCAAGGAAAAAGTAGAAAGTTAACTGGAAGTGATCAACATATACTGTCCGAGGTAACTTCTCCGGAAAGCAGAAATTGGGCCATATTATCCTCTGACGTAATGGATACTAGCCCAAAACAATACCATTAAACAAGTAAGATAAAATAACTTATAAAAGAAGAAAGTCCAGCTTGTATAAAACTGGTTTAAAAGTTTGGATTGGTCCGCCAAAAAGTGCTTGAGATCATACAGTAGGCATTTTCCTGTAGTTATTGGAACTTGCTTATCGTACGTCTAAGACGTAAAACCCTTACGCGTATGTGGTTCCCGCGGCTAGTTGGCCGTTATAGTCATGACTGTCGAACATAACTCCGTCAGCGGCACCCAGTACCACATTTTCGTCCGGCAATTTCGAATCCGCTCCCGTTGCCGGTATAGAAAGCCTCACCTCCCAACTTCCGTCGATGGGGTTCATATAGGTCTAAAATTCGAATGCAGACTGGATAATAAGACGATAACTTGCACCATTCTACGGATGCCGACAGTATGAATTTACGCTTAGCATTCCCAGTCTCCAAGTTTTTACGTATCTATCACAGTATTGCTGGAGTTATTGGCACACTATTCTCTATTTGTAAAAATATTTGAAAATAAAAAAACAACAAACAGTTTCGATCAGCAATGCTCACGTACACAGTATTGATTTTTCAGTTAGAAATATGGCTAAAGTCATACTTGTCGCCTATTCCCAAACATTGCACTAAGGGAATTTAGGCTAAACAGGTATTTAAGTTCAAAAAGACTACAAATATTACCCCTTACTTATGCGTCCTTAATTTAGGACAATTAGTAAGCATACGTGAATGAAAGTATCCCTAAGCAACATTTCTTCTGGTTTATCTGTCGACTGTCCGTTTTTATTATGTAATCACCGACGAGTCATGCATTTCATGCCGCTTTGTGTGGGTGATGTGTGGCATCTTTACTTACCCCACCAACCAGTTGCGGCGCTTTTGCCGATTCTGCAAGATAAGTCGATGGGACTGACCAGTTGGGACCCTCTGTAGGGCTGCCCTGGTCAATCGGCGTAATGACGGCGGAGACACCCTTGAGGGTGCCAATTGTGGCGACACCAAGCTTTGAGTAGGCCACTCGAATCATCAGTTGTCTGGCCGGATCAGCAGGTGTCGCGGTTGTCCGGCCTATATCACTAACAAGGTCGTCGAGCACTTGGTGTATTCGTTCTGTAAGAAAATTTTTAATTTGTCAAGACCAGTCAATTTGAGCAAACACAGCAAGTGTGTCAAATTATTCACTTTCTGAAACATGTCTATTAGCATAACGGGCACATTTTGAAATCTGAACAGATATGCGAGTAGAGCTTTTGACTGATTAGGCACCGCGGTAATATGAGATCAAGCGTGTTAAGAACAAAATATTTTAACGAAATATATAGAGAAAATTTTGCATTCAGCAGATAACAGCCTTTCTTGTGTCAAAATAAAGACGAAACGGTGATGCTTAACCACAGTTTGTACAATAAAAATGCTCAATTCTACCGTCATGCGGCTTTGAAATGTATTCTTGCCCCTTTACTTTGTCATCCCCTTTCACAAAATTTACGGTAACATCTATCCAGTGGGATTAAAATGCCGCACTATTTGATCAAAACTTTCGATTGCGCATATTGTCCCATCCCCGGAAAAAGCAAATTTGACATCTTTATTGCATGTTTCAGATGGGCGCAGCCGGTAATTTACGACCTTCCTGGCGGCAATTTCGTCACTAAACTCCTTCATAAGTGTGATTGTTGAACTGGCTAGTGTACGGTTAAAGATGATTAGTGTTAACTACAAACTGCCTTATTAATTATTTTGAATTATGAACTTGAGACTACTCTGTCCCTGATCTCCCAGTTGTTTACATACCGTCGCTTGCCGTCTGAACAAGGAGGCTGAAGAGGTCTCCACAGACGTTTGTTCCCGTCTGGCATTCACGGAGCATGAAATTGTATTTCTCTGAAGGCAGAAGTCCCTGGACTCGACAGACATGCTCTCCGGCGGAGACCTTGGAAGCGCACGCCGTGGTGGATGAGGAGTTTACCACAACTCTAAATTCGGTGTCCGGCTTTGTTTGCTTGCTGAACCAACTGACAGTAACAAAACGTGGCTCAATTTCCGTGGGTTGTAGACGGTATCCATCTATGGGGCAAACATTAGGGGAATAAATGATTACGGACCGTTTGCTGAAATAACCTTCATGTTATTAGGTTGCCTAGCTATCTGAATTTGTGTTTGTCATTGTGCTCTCAATGTGACTACTCACTATTGGGATTTTTATAATGCATAGGCGTTGAGTCGCTCTCCAGTTTTATGAACTAAGGAATGCCTCATAAGTGTATCACGGATGCACCTGGCATTGATTGGCAAATATGTGAAAGTTAAATTTGGTACATTTAGTTGATTAAAACCCTTTCACTTAGGCCAGACCTCAGACAGGGAAAGAAATAGCCAGCTTTTTGACGTTGGGAACGGTTAAGCATGCATCATCGACATGTAGATTACAGAAGAGCAATAACAATAAACATACAATATCTAAATTCTGATGTGTGTTCACTAAGAATTCTAGCCATAGAATAAACGTCTAAATCTATAACTCAAAGTAATTGCGAGCCACGTAGCCTACCTTTAATTGCGATTTTCGCAGCAATAGGTTTCGAGGGTGCTGAACACAAGTCAGCAGTCACACAGGCTGTCAATTTTACTGAATACGGAATATCGGTGTATGCATTTTCAACTAGGCAAGACACTTTCCCATCCACCAAGGTGGTTTCACAGAGGAAACGTGTTTCCGAAATTTCTGGGTTATGTGGTGCAGTCAAGGTGACCTTGTAGTCAAAGGAGTCGCCTGCGTCGATCAGAGGTTTCGTCCAGGTCAGAGAGAAAGAATTGACTTTGTCATTGCTAACGTGAACATCCGAAGGAGCCTCCAACGTATCTGCAAATCGTAAGAAAGACGCAGATAGAGTCGGATACCCAAAGGCCGCATGCCGTGAATAACGCGTTAATAATTCGCGTGTTGTTATTATCTTACTTCCTGTGTCTAATTGACTCCAGGAGCAGCATTCAATCAATATGAATGCATGTTGACGCAGGATGCGATCAGTACTTCAAATGTAGTACTTATAATAGTTTACCGTTAAACAGACTGGTATGTAAATACGAAATAATTATTACTAGCGATATCTGTTAGTATATTCAATTTCCGTTACGTGTGTATTCGTGCATTAAGGCTTGCCTATAAAACTACCAATATTTTTATAAAAGTTCACGTCTTATCGACTTCAGCTCAAAGTGTACGGTAAGAGTGTTGCTTTCGGGTGAAAATAACAGCATAATCGGTATAAATATTGAACGTTTAAGAAGATTTGTATATTATGAATGCACACAATATATAGTCGCTTGTTGTCGACGTAAGAGAAGACGATGGTGTAGCAGATAGTACGCTTATTCTTTTCGAGTCTTTTTAAACACCCATTATCGAGGGGTGCTATGGGGTTCGTACTTAATTTTATTGACTCTTCAGTTGATTTATCGATGAATTTTCGGATTTCAAAGACACATGTTGATGGTTAATTTTCCTTTAGGTCCAAAAACCTCGAGACAGGCCAACTCACTTGCCCTTATAATTTTCAAAATGATTGACAGCTTACTGGATTTGGGCACACGTGTTTAAAACTTTGTCATTAAGAACGCACATAATCTGCAGAGCCCTTCTTTTTGACTTGCTGGCGATTGTCAATTGACGAATTCACCACCGCCTTATATACAATCGTCAGTTCCATAGTTTTAGAAAAATCTCTATACTTGAAGCCCTAGTTATGCGGTTAAGTCGTAATTACTGACATGGCCGTATTTTGGCACCGTTTAAAAAGTTGAATGAAAAATGAACGACGTATTTTTTGGGTTTTTGTCTGAAATGGAGCTATAGAGCTGCATAACACTAGCATACACGTCATATTTGTGACCGATTGCCGTTTTTTACAACACCTTATTTACCAATCTGACTTCTATTTTTGGCCCACATCTCCCCTTAACCCACTTTGTGCGTCTGTCTTTTTTTATCAAATAACATGTTTAACGTCCTGGTATGAAGTCGGAAGCCACAACTGCTAATGTTACTTATCTACATAACATGCAGTTGGCATAACGCTAAACTTACCGGGTTTCGCGGTCCTAATTGTAATTGGCTTTGTTGGGGGATAACAAGTGGCTAAACTGCCACATCCCGTAATGACAACATTATACACAGTATCGGGCCGCAGGTTTGTGAGCATACATTCTTGACTCCGGACAGCAACGCACTCTTGTTGACTCCATCTGGCGTCCACCGGAGTTGCGTAAACGAAGTTGTAGTTTAGACTTCCATATAAGCCAGATCTTTCTGTCCAACTGATCTGCGCCGTGGTTTGGGTGATGTTCTTCGGTGGATGTGGCCTCACACCTAAGTGGTCAACACTAATTTTAACAACAAAGTTTGTGTATGTTTATTTGCATTAGGTCAGACAGAGTAACTTAAGAACGATTAGTGATATTAAGATAACGAATCTAAAGATTCAAACAAAGTATGCTTGACTGAGCAGGATGCTCTAAGCTAGGCCTGTTCGTATATAACACTAGAACTTCCCAAAAACATTCATGTTTACATGCCTGCAACATCAGAAGTTGAGCGTACAATGGAAAATATGCCTTTAAAGTAGGCATTTTTCGGCTTACGGATGTCTGGGGGATCAGGCACAGTATGCCATCCAGAGGCCGTGAGGTGTCACCTAAGCTGTATGATTTATGCGGCTAATGCTGGACAGTGCTGCACAATTGAACACTTAGTTAATTAATTTTAAATGCCTCATTTTACACTACACCGACCCTGATCATCAACTTAATGGAATTGCCGGAGATTTTGCTCGGAAGGTACTTGTTTGAAATCTGCTCCACTGCTGTTTGTAAGCCCCTATTTCTAGCCAAATACTTGCCCAGTGCTGTCTTACATGTTTTGTTCCGTGCTCTTTTCATCATAAGTTCCGACAAAGATCCTCTTTATTCATAGTAGCTGAACGCCAAAGATAAGCTTTTCTTTGCTCTACTGGACTTTGAATGCCAGCTGCTAAGATAGAATTCGCTGTGAGGAAAATTAATTCTGAAGACAGGGCTGCAGTCACATCCACGACCTATGTAGTTTGGCTCGGATCTAACTTTTGACAAAAAGATCAATGGCCTAGGATGCCATAACTGTACGGTTACCACAAAAAAGCTCGAAGGTCTTTTGGAAGACATTGGAATTGATTGATTGGTGAGTGGTTACAACAGTAAAATGCCGACTTCTTGTGGAGTGGACGCGGAAAACGCGTTGTCAGTGCCTGCCAAATATCATTCCAGACGTCGCATATCTTTGTGGCAGAGTGTGGCAATGAAATTGCCCGTGTTTATCTTTTAGAACACAAGAAGTGCCAACTTAAAAATCGTAAAAGTGAGTCGTTTACCTCGATTGTAAGGACGCTGTAAATAATTCGATACATCCTGGCAATCACTTCCATTGCAGACGCTCAGTATGAACCGATATAAAGGATCTGTTGAGAGTCCATACCATATATGTTCGAAGTATCCTTCGGCAACGGGCGCTTGGTAAATTTTATTGGGAAGCTGTTCTATTCGCACCTGAAATTGGTGGCCTGGTTTATCTTCCGCCTTTATGTTCGAAATCCAACTGAAGTGCATACCGCCGTCATCCAGTCGAGCCACTATGAGAGACATGGGACCTAAATAAAGAGAAATGTCAGTTTACGTAAAAATTCACCGGGCGACGTTGATGCATTACAAATTTGGCTTCTGGGGCCGCAGACGCTCTCCCCAAGACCAATTTCTTATTTCAAGGTAGCTATTTTCGATGGACTGAATAATCAGTCACAATAGATATATATGCCGTTAGATAGGAACAACTTGATAAATAAGTCAGTGTTTATTTAAACGATAATTGTTGGATGAAAATAAGATTTATATCTTCTGGACAACTGATGACTGTATGTAACTTTCTATAACCATAGGCTGGATTAATATTACAGGGTGTGCTGATCCAAACAATCAGATAGTTATGTAAATAGGAGACGATGAGGTGCATTTTCGGATGTTTCTCGAATACGGATTCGCATATTTACTTTCAAGGTAGATAAGACGTTGTTCTGGACTTCTTTGTTTTCTTTGCATTGTGATCCGCAGTATAATGCCTTACTTAGAAATTAAACGAGTATGGCTTCTTTTGGCTTACCTTGTGAGGAGGTTTTTGGGAATACAGGCTCCCCTTCACTGCACAAGAATGTTTCGTCGGTACAAGCGAATGTTCGAAATTTATACATCCTTCCGGCTGCAATATCATCTGATTCGCACTTTCGTATGAACTCCAGGTCTCTGGTTTCGCAGCCGTCTCTGTAGATATTAAGGTCGTTGGCCGGCTCAAAGCGTCCAACGTACCAAAATTCAGTACCTCTTCTGTCATCCTCGGGGGCATCGAACTTCATGCCCAAAGTTGTCGGGTATGCCTTAACCACTCTCGAGTTGCGTGGCGCTGGAAAAAAGGGAATTTGAGCGTTAATGCATGCCTGACTTCGATCCTGGTTCGTGACTTGTGCTGTCTGTAGATACGGCTATTGTCATGCTGCGGTGAATTCATTAACGATTTTTTAAATAAAAGAATACGGACAGCGAGATGTGCCGCTGTTATAAATGTGAAAGTTAACCTGAAAAGCGAAGATTGTGTTATAAGGCTGTCAAGCTTGTTCCTATGTCTTGCTATAGAAATTCTAAATCAGCGCCCTTCTAGCCGCACTTGTAAGAAACATAAAAAAGTATAGATCTAGTTTTATATAGTGGAGAGGATGGGACTCTCGTTAATTAAACGTATTAGTTAACGCGTAAGGTGATTTTGCAATTATTTATCTAGCTGTTTATTAAATTTGCAAAATAACCTAGGCAGACTGCAACTGTTAGTGAGCATAAAAAAGCTAAATCCATACATGGATGAATATGTGCATTTATTAAGAAGACTTAACACACCTCTGGGCCTTACATCTATGAGGCCAGCAAAAGTGGATGCTTCGGTTAAGGCATTTTGTTCATCGAATTTCCGTTCTTATCTAAGTAAATGCACATTGGCAATTATAGATCCAAAAAGCTCAATATCACGAAAAACATTCCCTTTGTTTACAAAAGTACGTCCATGTCTAAAAATTTTAATCCAGTTATATACATGCAGTATACAGTTAAGTGGCAGCTGACAGAATGTAATCATGTAACAGGAAAATAACTATTGACCAATTCTGGAACTACTGCTCATATTGAAAAAAGTCTCCTTAATCTGCCCATGAAACTATCTTTATATCTTTTTTAACTGTCGAAGGACTGATTTTATCGGGCGCAACACTGAATTTGTCTAAGTCTATCCTTTTGAGGGTAGACATTGACATTAACAGGAGATATGCCATACAAGTTAATTTAAATACTTACCGTTTGGATATGTTTCTCCAAGCAAAGGAGTGATTGTATCACTGCAATAGCCATCCGAGGTGCATGCCGAAACATACACATTGTATTTAGTGCCCCTTTTGAGATTCGTTATGAGGCAGGATGAGGGCTGGTCTGTCGATAGTGAGTCGCATGTGTATTTTTCCCAGCCACGAACAGCTTTCACTCTGTACACGTACTGATTATTCGGATCTTCGACTGATTCAAGCCATGAAACCCGAAATGAGCTGTTGGTCCGATATGAGACAGACATGTAGCGAGGAACTAAAAAAAACAAATGATGTGATTTTGCGCATTTCTTTAAAGGAATTTAATATATGGGTATGATTGGAATGAGAATTTTAATGCTCTTTACCCCCAAGGGAATTGAGCGTGGCTGAAAAAAACGTTGCCTACAGTTTGTCAAACGAAAATATTCTACACTTCATTTACCTGATTCTAGCCAAACTGTTCGGTTTTCTCGTTTGTGACCGCACTTAGAGTAGTTACTGAATTTTAACTCCGAACTGCTTAAAGTACGCTTTTTCCGTTTAATAACTTAGGTATGAGACATATTTATCCGTAATTTTAACAAAAAAAGGACGCGTTTTGGCAGAAAATGACAAACTAGTTAAATATCGCATGCAAAGGTAGATTGCGCGCGTATCTTGCCCCAAATGGAAAATTTTCACATTCCTAAGTCGATGCATTGAGGCTCAGTAAACTGAAATGCTCATTACCTCAATCGGTCGCGGATATAAACCCGACGGTATGAAATACTCGATAGACAGGTTATTTATATTACATTAATCAAACCAAAACAACTAAAGGTGTTCGATGTCAAACATAAGCTGCAAGCACATCTCTATTTTAAAATGTTTCTTGGCAATCGATACTACTGGAATGAATTGAAAAAAAGCAAACGGCTTACCACCAGGCATCGTCCGGACCTTGAGGTTACTGTCCTGTACAGTACAAAGATTCTCTTGAGTGCAGATTTCAACTGCAATATTATACGTCGAATTAGGTTGAAGTCTTGAAACCACGCATGAAAGCACATTGCTCTTCAAACTCATTGTACAACTTTTCTGGCTGCCTCCCGATCGGCGCAAGATTGCCTTGAATGTGGCTGTTGATCCCTCAAGCGCCTTCATTGTAACCACTGCAGTGTAGCTGTGCCCCTCAGCCTTAAGGGCTGCGTCAAAATAAAAAATTATTTAATATGAAGGGGGATTTTTAATTCGAATTATGCGCATACCACACTTGATACTGCTAAGATAAAACGAAAAGCAAGTTTCACGTGTTGACATTCATACGCATTTTGTAACTTGAACTTTAGTCATTTTATCTACAAAAATTCTTTAACAAATCAAGTGATTTTTACGAATCTCATTTTCTGCAGTTTTGGTCCTCAGTGTATCCCTTTTTCCCTAACGTTTTTCCCGCTCCTTGTTTCCTTTTTTCTTATTTTAAAAAGCGTCTTTAATTAAGTGCCTTGAGCTTTATAACACTAGAACAAAACGTAGAGCAGTTAAACTTCTTTAGCGTGCATAACAATTCATTACGTAAACTAACAACTTCACCTACCTGTGTCATTGAGACGTGGGAAAACCGGAATTTGCCTTGTGTCAACTTTCGCATTTCTGCTTGACGAAAAGAGAAAATTATTTTACAAATGTGTTGTTCTGGTCAACTAGTTGCACTTTTACAGTGCAAGCTAAAGAAATAAACTGGTCGCGTCTTCGAAAAATGACTTGCAAGATTTGGTTTAATCTCCGTCCGCAAAAAATATAGCTCAAGAATACAGTTAAGCGTGAAAATTGACAATTATGTGCATGATGCTCATGACCATTCTAGAGGGTGACGGCCCGCTAAGCCCATTTGCTGATAAATTTTTAACTTGGGTCTCATAATTTTACATGCCACAACTCCGTGTATTACGTAATATATTTGGCAATGAAAAAACAGTTGAATCTGACTTTATGATGTGAAACAACAATATTTGCAGAAAATAAATCTCCATGACTTATAGAATTATTAATGCACATGTTGCGTCTGAAGATGGTTTAACCAAAACGTTTTCTGCTACGGTGAGATACCACACACACTGTGTACAGACAGCAGTAGGAAAATGCAGCGTAGGGGAATTCGGACAGGTTCCTGGTGAATCAAATGATTTTCTTACGCCTCCCGTAGCAAAACAACATCTTAATCACAATCATACCGACACTTTCTTCCAGATTAAAATATAGCGCTGACTGGAAGATTGAAATATGTATCCTAAGAAGGGTGTACATACGCGTCAACCGAGATTGCCTGATCAGTGTCTGCTCCAACATGACAGAGTGTCCCTAGAAATATTAGACAAAAAAATTAATTGCAAATTTCAGTAACTGCAATAGCACTTAACAGGTATGCAGCCGACTGTAACTTAAACGTACAGTAAATGTTCAAATGTAATAAGTATTAATTTTTGTGTCAGCAAGGCGATTATTTTTAACACAACAGAAAAGGCTTGCTAAGTTCGCAGTCATGTATAAGTGTGTGCCTGTTTGTGTTTGTTAGCAATTTTTCTGACATTACCGGAACAGATATGTGCTAGTAGAAATAATGTGATGGCCTGCGAGATGGTCATCCTCAGAAATTGCGCTTCTAGTGAAGAGTCCCTGATATAACTCTGATTTATATAGACAAACAAATGTCTTTCAATCTGGGCCGCCAGAAAAACAAAGATTATTGCTAAGCAAAAGTAAACGAATGTCGAAAATACCGAGTGAACATTTTCACTTTCATTAAGGCAATGAAGTTTTGTTCAATAAACGGTTATTTCACTGTGGCTGAGTGGCTTCGGCGTATTTATATTTTGGTCTGCCCCTATAAACTTTCGTAAAACCTGATTTTCCGGATGTGAGCAGTTACGTTCTAAGAAAATCATAAAACACTTATTACTAAACTGGAACATCTAACAGAAACTACAGAGCTGGGGACCCACTGAGGGGACGAACCGCCCGCATTCGTGCTACGCATCGTCAGCATATCGCGAGAAAATCGTTTCTAGAGATTCAACTAACGCCTGCGCTGCTTTAATAGTATCCTTATCTTTAAGAGGTATTAGTGGGCCCTAGGGTATTAGTGGCGCTTGGCTTCTTTTTAGGGGCACAGATTTCGTATTATATAATAAGCAAGTAAGGAGGCCCATGATGACCAACAGTGTCTGATTATTCCGGGTTAGCCTGAATCGAATGCAGTCAGACGTGATGATCGTGTCTCGGAAGACCTTGCTTCTTTTCATGATCAACTTAACCAGTTACTCCAGGCAGACATGGGAATAAAGTTTCTGAAGGCATTGCGGATAGAAAAAAGGAGTGAAGACAGGACAGCAGCCCTACCACCTCGTCCTCTTAAAATTATGCTGGAGAACAAACAGCAAATCAGGTTGATCCTCTCCAAAAAACCGACCTCAGAAACACAAACAGGATTTTAAACCGGACTACTCACGAGCGGAGCGGCTGAAACGCCAGGAACTAGCCTCGGGGTTTAAATCGATACTGAAGGGGGCGATCGCAATCCGGATATCTTCAAGGGGAAGGTAGTTCGGAAATACATGCCGTTTCAGTGGATTCTTCCAATAATACTTAGAACGACATCAGGTTCTCAGCTAACACAGACACGTTCGTGGAACCACCCGCTCAAGGCGACATTAGGAGAACGGATATTTATTGAACACATCAGGCAATGGAAGAGCCCAAAGAAAATGGCGTCCGAGATAACGGAGTAATGCTTAAAAGAGTGACAAATGCGACCGGAAAATCGGCTGCTGCAAAACTGAGGTGCTTGTTCACGAATGCCCAAAGCCTGATATCGAAATTAGACGAGGTGGAACTTTGCCTTGCCGAGCTGTCTCCAGATCTTTTTAGCAGAGATCGAGACCTGGCTGTCCGGGAGTATTAGCGATAGCGAAATAGCCTTGACTGGTTACAAAATTTATCGGAGGGACAGGGAACATCGTCAGGGTGTTTGTATAGTTGTGTATGTGAATAAGGGTCTGGCAGTATCGGCAAACACCACCAAGTTTGCGTGCGGCACGGAAGAAATTTGGTTGACTATCATGGCTACCGGTTCTCCATTTCTTGATGTCCTCACTGTCTACCGACCACCTATGACAGACCAAATCGCCGACATCTCAAGGTCAAGGCGCGCAGCTCAATTTCAAAGACAAGTGAAGCTCTGTATTTATCTGGATATTCTTAAGTAATTAATGCCTGTTTTCTACTTGAGTCCCTTTTTAAAGTCGCCTGTCAATATAAGGAAAACAATTTTCCCCAGCTTTGCTTGACAGTCTGGCAAAAAAGTCGTATTTTGTAAAAAATCCATTGTAGTGAATCCTTTCCCTACTACCGCTCTCTAGTTTTTGTAGTTAAATAACAGTATTACTTGCTATTCAGTGCGCTCTCCCGTACGTTGGAAACGTTTTGATCCTTTTGCTGTAACGAAAAACTTTTTTTGTCTGTAATGCCCCGCTGAGCACGTGCTAAAAGGCGAGAGCTTGCGGCCTCCCCACCGTCTTTGGGTGCTAAAATCGTGACTGAAGACATAGCAGGTGCCAGCATATGTTCTTCGCCGTCTGCAGATCTGATTAACTCACAAATCCCTTTAGTACATGTAGAACCTCTCGACCCTTCAGTCGTCAAAAAATACGCCTCTGCTAGTCGTAGCAGGCCATCAGCCGGCGAAATAATCGATCAGCTGATTTATGGAGACATAAACAGCACTTCTGAAAAAGTAATTGAACAAGTTTTTAAACTTATTGGGGTAATTAGTTCGGAAACTGAGGAACGAATTAAACGCAAGCATAATTTCGTACTGCGAAACATTCCGAGCCACTTATCTGCTATGGAGGGAGCGCATTTGTTCCTATAAAGTTGTGGCTTGAGTTTTAGTGTCGCACAAGCTAAGCGACTTCGCTCGCTTAGCCGTAATGCGCCGATACTAGTTACCCTTTTCTCCATGATAGAAGTCGATTTTATCTTGTCGAGTAGGGAGATGACTAGAGACATCTGCCGTAAATGGCGCTGCTCCTTTTCGCCAGACCTCGCACACCTGCAGCGAAGATTGAATTAACTAAAATCGGCAAAAACCAACACCAAGATAATGACACCTACTGTCAGTCTGAATATGTCCTCTACAACACCATCTGCGGCATCTGCACATCACGGCATAGTCAATTCCGTAGGAAATTCGACTACTTTTAATGCTGAGGTCTTTAAACACACCATCACGCCGGGTATAAACACGCCTCTATCGACTCCCCCAGCAACCCCTAGTAAGCCTAAGCATGTGTCTAAGTCAAAGGCAAATCCAATTGCTGCCTCAGCCACTCGGAAACCCGATAAATCAAGCACCATTATAAAATCTTTTCCTACACAATCGGCGAACAGAGCCTCAAATACCCCGACTCAAAACGTACCGTGTTGCCAACTGTCCCCCAGCCCTCATATCAAGGCAGTTAGGCCGAACATGCCGATTTTCCCACCGTTTAATAGAGCTCTTGTTCCAATGGAAGCAATGCGTCCCCCAACCCCTATCTTGTTTCCTCCACGGCCGTTTTACTAATTTAATTCTCATGATAATGTCCATACTGGACCAGTTAACTCATCTGATCTTCAGTTTCGTAACGGCGGGAATGTGTTGCAGTGTCTGCCCCGCGGATTTCCAGCTGAAAATAAGTTAGCTAACAATAGTTACCAGTTTACCTGCCCGTCATTCCCTCCCCCAAGTCCTACCCCTTTTTATCCACGTCAGAATTTTTTGATGCCACAAAATTTTTTGCAGAACCGGATGGTTGCATCCGGGCCGTTTGCTCCGTGGGCAGCCCAGAACTGGACGACGTAGCCAACCTCCCTCAAAATCTGATAGCCTTTCTCTTCAAACTTTTGTTTTTAAATGCCAGATCCTTGCTTGATAAGATGTTTTTGCTTCAGACTCTGGTGTTCGTCCATTGTCCTGATATTGTTTTAGTAACTGAGACGTGGGCATCAGCCTCAGTAGCTGACTCTGAACTCTCTCTTCTAGGCCACAATTGCATCCGAAATGATCGCCAAGATAGACGTGGTGGGGGCAGCTGTGTCTACGTTAAGAAAACACTTACATTTTTGCCGTTGGACCTCCCGCACTTTTCAGCAGTAGAAAGCAGCTGCTGGCTCCAAATTGCACTAAAAATAGTTTCTCCTTACTCGTTGGCTGCGTCTATCGCCCTCCCAACGCCAACGACAATTTTGATCGTATACTCTCACAGGCCGACTTAAGCTTTAAGTATCAATTGGTTGCGGGTGACTTTAATCTCCCTGAAATCCGCTGGTCACCGCCTTCAGGCCCCAGAATGTTCGATGAGTTTTTTGAGGTTGTGCATGTTGGGATGTGGAATTAGGTTGTCGATTTTCCCACCCGAGGCTCAAGTATACTTGACCTAATTTTCTGTAGAGGCTGCTTGCCATCGTCAGTGTCATCCCTAGGCCCACTCGGGGGCTCAGACCATGACATAGTTGTTTCAACGTTGGAATTCGAGGATGACGAAATGTCGTCCCAAAAGTATAACTTTTTCCGCGATTTCCGATCAACTCGCTCAACCGAATTATTAACACACCTTAATTCCTACGACTGGATTGAGTTCTTCCTTAGTCCGGATGTAAATGTTTGCACTGCAAAACTGTACGAAATATTGAATCCGCTTATCTCTCGTTTTGTCCCCCGTAAGAAAATTATTAATGTCGGGGATGAGATTTTCCTACCCTTACCCTTTCGTCGCAGATTGCGCAGAATTTATCGTTGTTTCCATCTGCAGAACGATGTTTCTGTTCTGCACTTGATTTGTCTGATGAAAAACAGCTAGCCGAAGTGGTCCAGTTTACCGAAAACCATTCGTTAAATGTCTCAAGACTTTTCTCTAGAAAAATACGAACTCATAGAAAGACGCAGCATCCCATCCTCCGAGACGATCTCGGAAATCCCAAAGTTGATGCCCAGTTAACCGCGGATAGCTTCAACGATTTCCTGTCCAAAACGTTTATTGAAGACTCGACCACTCCGCTTCCGACCATCCAGTCATTGACCGGGGCAGTTCTAGAAACTATAAGTTTCACTCTGTGGGATGTGACTGTTGCGATTCGGCGTTTTTGTCAATCTTATAGTCCAGGACCTGATGGTGTCCCTGTAAGCATTTTAAAAGCCGATGCAAACACGATCTTCCCATCCCTCTTATGCAAGATATTTAATCTCGCTCTTGAAACTGAAACCTATCCTACCTTGTGGAAGGAATCACACATTCTGCCCATTCCTAAGCACGGCAAATCTACATCATGTGATGACTTGCGGCCAATAAACACCCTCCCCGCAGTTTCGAAGATCTTAAAGACATTGATCAAAGATAAGATGATGTGTCACTTAACAGCGAATATCTTACTGAGTGCTGCTCAGCATGGATTCCTCAAAGCTCGATCTTGTGACACCTGTCAACTCTCTTTCTTTGACTATGTTCTCCAATCTAGGGACCATGGTTTTGCTCTTTACACAGTATATTTCGATTTCACTAAGACTTTTGACCGTGTTGACCATGCTCTTCTTCTCTTGAAATTGTCC